ACGGAAACCCATTAATGTGGGTACAATTTCGCGATTTGTTTTTACAGCTCATTGACGAGCAACCATTTAAACCAATGCAAAAAATGTTTTATTTAACCACCAATTTAATCGGTGAACCGAAAAATCTAATCAAACATTTGCCAGCTTCAACAGAAAATTATGCCACAGCATGGCAAATTTTAAGATCTCGATACGACAATAAACGTCTACTCATTACAGCGTTACTCAACAAGTTGTTAAGCCAATCGTCTTTAACTGCGGAAACTTCATCAGGTTTGAAGTCGCTGCATGATGTCACTAAGGAGTGCATTTTGGGCTTAAAGGCACAGGGTATTCTAATAGAAGAATGGGATGCAATATTGGTGCACCTCACTTTAAAGAAATTAGATAGAGGAACTCAAACAGCATTTGAACAATCTCTAAAGGATAATCGTTCACTCGTGTCGTTCGAAGAACTTCTACAGTTTATTGAAAGCCGATTTTTGTCACTGGAGGCTTTTGGCAGAGGATTCAACGTAAAGGTCTTAAACACATCGAGAGTAGTTGCTGCAACAAACGAAGGATCAAATTACGAAAAACTATGTCCGGCATGCAAGAATGACCGTCACCCATTGTACACGTGCAAGTCATTCATACAAGAACTTCCCACTAAAAGACTTCAGTTAGTTAAACAAATGCGGTTGTGCATTAATTGTTTAAAGTTTGGCCATTTTGCAAGAGAATGCTCGTCAGGCAATTGTAAAATATGCAATAAAAAACACAATTCTCTTTTACATCTGGAAGATGCAACATGCACTAACCCAAATAAAATAACAAATTTGAGTAAGTCAATAAGCCTGATCTCCAATTATAACAATTACAACAAGGGTTATGTTGTATTGGGAACAGCACGCGTAATAATACAAAGCAATAAAGGCATCAAGGTTGAATGTAGAGCATTATTAGACTCCGGTTCACAAGTAAATCTTGTAACGGAAAGACTCATCAAAAAACTAGGAGAAAATCCAATGAATGTATCCGCATGCATCGAAGGTATTGGACAAAGGAAACAAAATGCTCAAAGGCGAGTAAATTTGGGTTTTAGTTCCAAAATCAATGAATATGCCGCAAGAGTGGAAGCGTACGTGTTACCAAGTATCGTGTCTGATCAACCGAGCATGCAGCTCGACATTTCAAATTGGGACATACCGGGCAATATTAAGTTGGCTGATCCTTGCTTTCACCAAAAGGGTAATATTGATCTCTTACTGGGGGCAGAATTCTCACATGAACTGCTGTCGATCGGACAGATTAAAATTGGCAATAATCTTCCAATATTGCAAAATACGTTACTGGGCTGGATTGTGATAGGAAAAATAACTGACAACAATTTAGGTGTGCAGATGCAAACATGCGGCATTTGCTCGGACGATGAAGAACAAATAGAAAAGGTGATAGAGAAATTTTGGCAACTCGATGAAGCATCACCTACAAACAAAAACGTAACTCAGCAAGAAGAGTTGTGCGAATCACATTTTATAAACAATGTACAAAAAACCAACCATGGTCGATTTATTGTGAGATTACCGTTTCAACAAAATCCATCAATTCTCGGAGAGTCTCAAAACACAGCGATAAACCGATTTTATGCCCTAGAAAGAAGATTAAGCAAACATGAAGCAGTCTGGAAGCAGTATGTAGAATTTATGGATGAGTACGAAAAGTTGGCCCACATGAGCAAAATTCATATCGAGGACATCACATCACATTATTTAATCCCACATCATTGTGTAATTCGACCTACCAGTAGTTCAACAAAATTGAGAGTAGTGTTTGACGCATCGTGCAAGACCAACAACGGGTTATCATTAAATGACATATTGTTAACAGGCCCAAAAATTCAGAGTGACTTGTTTTCCATTTTACTTCGTTTCAGATGCCCCAGATTTGCATTTTGCACAGATATTGAAAAGATGTATAGACAATTCCTTATACATCCAAATGATAGAAAATACCAAATCATTGCGTGGAGAAGATCGCCTAACGACCCATTGCAGTTTTACCAATTAAATACAGTAACTTATGGCACAAGGTCAGCGCCATATCTGGCTACGAAGTGTTTGCAGCAACTAGCAAAAGACAAATCAACTAAATACCCGCTTGGAGCCTTGGCAATTATAAATGATTTTTATGTGGACGATTGTCTTAGTGGATCAGATAGTCTTGACACAGCTTTAGAAATACAACGTCAACTTCACGATTTATTGGAATCAGCTGGTTTCAAATTGCGAAAATGGTGTGCTAATAATCCTTTGCTGCTTCAAGACATAGCAAAAGAGGACCAAGAGGTCGATTTAGATTTCAGCAATGAAGACCAAGCATCAGTCAAAACATTAGGATTATCGTGGCAACCAAAGCGTGACAAATTCAGCATAAGGATTGATTTAACCCCATCTAAGCGAATAACAAAAAGATCGATGACTTCTAGTTTAGCAAAAATATTCGATCCCCTGGGTATTTTGGGTCCAGTGTTAGTAACAGCAAAAATACTAATTCAAGATCTGTGGCAACTCAACTTATCATGGGACGAAGCTGTGCCGAGTGAAGTACATACCAGATGGATTAATTTCTGTGACGAGTTAAGGTCATTGCACCATTTTCAGATAGATAGGCATATTTTTGGACAGCAGATTGCTTCATCGGTGCAACTCCATGCATTTTGTGACGCTTCCGAAAAGGCTTATGGAGCAGCTATATACATTCGAGCAACACTGAAAGATGGACGCTTGATCAATCGACTGCTATGCTCTAAATCTCGGGTCGCCCCAATCAAAAAGCAAACCATTCCACGCTTAGAATTGTGCGCTGCTCTTCTAGGAGCCACATTAATGAATAGGGTAAAGGGCGATTTAAATCATAAGACAGAATCATATTACTGGACTGATTCTGAAATTGTACTCTACTGGATTAATTCATTGCCAGCAAAACATCAAC